GCTCGCAACTCAGCCTCTGCACTTGAACCGGAAACTACGGTTTGTTTCTTCGCCTTCCAGGCAATGAGAGAACCACCAAGAAAGACACAGTAAGCGGAAAGTGAATGGCGATCCAAAGGATCACTAGCTCAGGTAGCATCTGAATAGGCTTGGAGCTATAACGTGCTGGAACGAGGAAAGAAGAGACGGTGAGAGATCGTGCCACAAAGATATCGTAGAACACGAAGAAGATGACTATAGTGAACCGAAGTGGGAGAGAAACAAACTGACTCCGGATATGGACAGGATAGGAGATATCCAGACGAGTGACAGCGAGATAGACAAGACTCTATCCAGACGAGTGACAGCGAGATAGACAAGACTCTATCCAGATGAGTGACAGCGAGATAGACAAGACTCTATCCAGACGAGTGACAACGAGATAGACAAGACTCCCAACAAGATGATGATAACGAGTCGGATCAGACAGGGCTCGCCATCAGAAGCACGAAGGTGAACATTAAGCTCCATAGGAGTCTCAACAGTGTGTTCATCACTAAGAGCCGCACGAGTAAGAAGATCATGGATATACTTCTCTTGGGAAATAAAAAAGCCATCAGGAGTGGAGGAAATCTCAATCCAAGAAAGTAACGAAGAGGGCCAAGATCAAACATCAGAAATTGTTCATTCAGACGGGCCTTGACAAAGGCAATATACTCAAGATCATCGCTAGTGATGATCATGTCATCAACATATAGGAGAAGAAGAGTGCGACCACGAGCAAAAAGGTGGACAAGCAGCGCGGGATCATGAGCACTATGAAAAACCAGTTGAAGTGACCACAGAGGCAAAACGCTCAAACCAAGCGCGGGAGGCTTGCTTAAGGCCATAGAGAGAGCGACGGAGACGACAAACCATGCCATCAGGAACTGAATACCCAGGTGGTGGTTGCATATAAACTTCCTCGCGCAACTCACCATTAAGAAAGGCATTCTTAACATCAAGCTGAGACACGGACCAATGGCGGACATAAGCCACGGCAAGAAGTGTGCGAACAGTGGTCATATGGGCCACAGGAGCAAAAGTCTCATCGTAATCACGACCATGCTACTGCTGAAAGCCACGAGCCACAAGACGAGCTTTATAACGCTCAAGAGAACCATCAGAGCGAGTCTTAATCTTATAGACCCACTTACAAGTGATGGGATGACATGGGGAGAAAGAAAAACCATATCCCACGTGCCAGTGCGCTCAAGTGCAGCAATCCCCTCTGCCATCGCAAACTTCCATTCAGGATGAACAACATCATTGCGATAAGTAGTAGGTTCAAGTATAGCCAAAAAACCATATCGGGAAGGAGAATAGCGGCCAGGAGGAAGACAAGGCCAAGCCCGAAGACCATAAGTCGGTTGAGAAGAGGAAAACGACACACCAGAAGTAGATGGCGCATTAGTGGACGCATCCACAACACGTGGACGACGAGTGTAATGGAAAGGAAAAGAGCGACGAGTAGGAATCACCGGAGGTGGAGACGGGGAAGACATCAATGTTGACAGGGAAGGCATCGCTGATGAAGGTGGAGACGGGGAAGGTATCGGTGATGAAGGTGGAGACGGGGAAGGTATCGGTAATGAAGGTGGAGAGTCATGCGACAATGGAGGAGAAGAATCTGTGGGAAAGGACGGCGACATATCTGCAACAACGGGGGGAGGATGGGTAGGGATATGGGGCATAGAGGGAGGTGTATCGGGAAACGTGAGAACCATCAGAGCGAGTCTTAATCTTATAGACCCAGTTACATGTGATGGGACGAACACGAGGAGGAAGAGAAACCAGATCCCACGTGCCAGTGTGCTCAAGGGCAGCAATCTCCTCTGCCATCGCAAACTGCCATTCAGGATGAACAACAGCATCTCGATAAGAAGTCGGCTCAAGAACAGTCGAAAGATCATAGCGAGAAAGAGAATATCGGTCAGGGGGCGGACAAGGCCGAGAACGAAGACCATAAGAGGAAGATGACACATTAAAAGTAGAGGGCACATCAGTAGACTTATCCACAACACGTAGACGACGAGTATAATGGAAAGGGGAGGAGGGAAGAGGTGGAAACATTGGAGGTGGAGATGGGGAATGTATCGATGATGAAGGTGGAGAAGGGGAAGGTATCGATGATGAAGGTGGAGAGTCATGCGATGAAGGAAGAGAAAAAATCGTAGGAGAGGACGGTGCCAGATCTGCAATAGCGGAACGAGTAGTAGGCATACTGGGCACAGAGGGAGGTGTATCCGGAAACGTAAGAAAAGAGAAGTCCTCCGTGGAAAAGGCCGAGGATGGATGCGGGTAGAAGGGACGAGACTCATCAAAGGTCACATCCCGGGAAATACGCATCTGACAACCGGCAGGATCCCAACACTGATAGCCCTTATGCTCATCACTGTAACCGAGAAAGACACACTCAACAGACTGGGCAGTTAGCTTGGTGTGTTCACGAGGGGCAAGCAAAACATAGCAAACGCAGCAAAACAAATGAATCGTCGAATAATCAGGAGAATGACCAGAAATGTGCTCGAGAGGAATACCACCCTGCAGAGCAACAGATGACTGAATGTTAATGAGATAGGTGGAAGTGGTAACAGCCCCAGCCTAGAAGTGAGGCGGAAGAGAGGCAGCGGTCATCATCGCACGCACCGTCACAAGAAGGTAACGAAGCTTGCGCTCAATGACACCATTCTGAGCATGAGCACCACGACAAGAGAACTGAGGAAGAGTGCCTTGCTCCTCACAGCGCATGGGAGATATACTCACCAGCTGAATCTGCGCGGAAAACACAAAGAGGAGTAGAAAACTGGGTATGAACCATGGCAGCAATTTTTTTTATATAGATAAGACCTCACTACGAGAAGACATGAAATAGATCCAAATGTACCGAGAAAAATCGTCTATAAAGATAATATAGTAGCGATGACCCCCTTTCGAAGCCAAGGGAGCCGGACCCTAAACATCAGTGAACGAGATCAAAAGGGCGCTCGGATACTGACTCACTGTGAGGATAGGGTAGCTGAATCTGCTTACCAAGTCTACAACCCAGACAATCCAACGAAGCGTTACCAAAGACAGACCCTAGAACACAGCAATTAACCAAAGACAAGAGACGAGAACCACATAAATGGGACGATGATGCCACTGCTGAAAAGAACTGGTAGATGTAGCAGCAGGGGCTGCGAGACTGGCGGCAGTGGCAGCGGATGGAAGACGAAGCCAGTCAAGCTCCCAGGGACCATCGGAGCGTCGAGGGCCAGCACCAAGCAGAGCACCCGTGCAACGATTCTGAACAGAACATGAATCAAAGTCAAGAATGACCCTACAATAGTCAACAATCTGACCACCAAATATGAGCTGCATGGTAAGTCAAGGAACATGAGCGACAGAGGGAACATGAAATGAAGAAGTGCTAAGAGTGCCTCGACTAGCTACATGGAGGGGAGTGTCGTCAACAGTAAGAACAGATCGAACGGAGGTCAAAGTAGAAGAATCATAAGTCATATGACGCTCCAGTATCAAGAATCCATGGGGATGTACCTGAATGAGTAGAAGGTGGTTTCTCAGTGCTAGAAGAGTCAGTCGCGGAACTTGCAGAACCAGTGGTGAAGAATCCCAAGCAGCGAGCAGGCATCGCAGCTACGCAATCTCACACACAGACAGAGACACAACAGAAGATGTCGAAGTAGAAACACCTGACGTCGATGACCAGTCGCCACCACCCGTGGAAGCCGCGTGTAGAATCGACCGAGAGTAGTTAGTCGACGTAGTGCCGCATGTGGAAGCCACTAGGGGGAGTCGGCATAGAGCGGTCACCGCCACACGTGGAAGCCGCGAGGAGTCGACGTAGAGCAGGCACCACCACCGCGGGCAGAAGCCACAAGTGCGTCGACGAATAGCGACCAGCAAAGTCTGCTGAAGATGTCGTAGGCGACAACGTCACAAACGGACGAGTAACAAGCACCACCGACGTCACATGTGCGAGACGGGATCAATATAGGAAACACCATCGGTAGTCGGCGGGCAACGACGGAGATGCAGGCCCGATGGAAACATCATATCAGTTTTTTTTTACTCTCTCTTCTTTTTACTCTCTCAATCGATCTAAATCAGGTCAACCATCCACACATGCAGAGGCACACACACACGTTTGCCACAACACCGCCCACAAACCGCAAGTATCCGAGGAGCACTGGCCTCGAGACAACGACGGCCGGGACAGCGGACTGGACTCAGGCGGCGGCGGCCAGGCCTGGAGGAGGCGGGGCGACGGCGGCCTGACCTGGAGGAGGCGGGGCGACGGCGGCCTGACCTGGAGGAGGCGGGGCGGCGGCGGCCGGGCCTAGGAGGCAGGGCGGCGGCGGCCGGTCCAGGCAGGCGGGGTGGCGGCGGCCTGGCCTGGGAGCCGAGGCAGCGGCGAAGGCCTGGAATCAACGACCGGGACGGAGATGCGGACCTCCGATAGCAAATCGAGAATGATTTTGCAGACGCCGAATTCCTTGGGTGACGGGATGTTGACCAGGCAGGCGGAGGGCAGCGGCAGCAAGGTAATACAGAAGGAAGCAACGGACTAGGTACGGGCTGCCAGACCCGGCCACTTTGATCTGGACAGGGAGAAGCCTCTTCGATCTGGACGGGGAGACTAGAGAAGGGGAACCGACTGCCTGAGGAGCGAGGACAGCCAGGGCGGTGTGGCCAAGCCGAAGAGAATCGAAGGAGAAGTTCAGTTGGCCAGAAAGAAGACAGCGGCAGCAGCAGTACTAGCTGGATCCGGCACGAGTTGCAATCGTGCAAAAAAAAAGAACCTAAGCTCGATACCATGTCAGGCAAATATGCAACTTGTATTATCGAGAGGCTAAAGCCATTATATATACATGTACAGGGGGAGGCTCCATACCATGTCAATATGCTCCACTGAAATACTTAATTTTTCAACAAAAAAAGACACTTGAAAAACATGATGGGATGTGAAGGTAGTATACCTGTCCTTGTAAAGTCATGATGTATATTGACGAAGTCTTATTGCAGACAACAATGTGATCACTATTCTTTGGAAACAAATGGACAGAGTTGACAGATGCATCTCCTCCCTGGAAATTTAAGAATACATATGGATAAGAAAAAGCATGGCTGAAAGCCTGTGTTATGGAAGGAGTCCGACAATGTGAAAAATAATGATTACCCTCAGAGGAGGAGGCTTGAATGATTGCAAACAGTCTGCTGTTTTCGCATCCCATACCTACATCGAGAAATCATAAATGATAAGCATACAACCTACCATACAGAACAATAGATGTGGGAAATTAATGAATTAATAAATAATAGTTCTCATTGGAACAGAAGTTCAAATGCTGATGCACAAGATCTGCACCTTAACAGTACAGTCACTGGAAGCTGTGATAACACGGGTGCCATCACTAGAAAAGATGGCATAGTTCACGTAGGAGTCGTGACCGCGAAATTCTTTTAGCATCTTCCCAGACTTAAGGCCATGGATTCTGCAGAAATGAAGAGAATAACCCTGAAATTATTTTCAGGGGCTAAAGCAGAAACAGGATAGGCACGGAATATATAAGACCGAAACTATGAACACAGCAGCAGCAAAAGAGAAGAAAAAATGGCATAATGGAAATGGCAACATGCAGGATGTTGCAGAATCAAACACAATTCAGTATGCAATTCATGGTTCAGGTTTGTGGTGCTTGCACAGGTTGTTTTCCCACTCAAAACAGGGAAAATTTCACCAACTACTCAATACATTTAAGTTCTGGTTTATTCTTTTGTTAAGTCTGATTTATATTATATAACTTTGTTAACATAGAGGGAGAGGAAGGCTGTAAACATAATTTCGTAAACAATCCACACTGAACGTTAAAAACCAACAACAACAACAACAACAACAACAAAGCATTTAGTCCCAAACAAGTTGGGGTAGGCAAGAGGTGAAACCCATAAGACCCCGTGACCAACTCATGGCTCTGGCACATGGATAACAAGCTTCCACGCACCCCTGTCCATAGCTAGTTCTTTGGTGATACTCCAATCCTTTAGGTCTCTCATAACAGACTCCTCCTATGTCAAATTCAATCTACCCCGACCTCTCTTGACATTCTCCACACGCTTTAGCCATCCGCTATGCACTGGAGCTTCTGGAGGCATGCGCTGAATATGCCCAAACCATCTCAGACGATGTTGGACAAGCTTCTCTTCAATTGGTGCTACCCCAACTCTATCTCGTATATCATCATTCCAGACTCGATCCTTCCTCGTGTGGCCACACATCCATCTCAACATACGCATCGCCGCCACACCTAACTATTGACCATGTCGCCTTTTAGTCGGCCAACACTCAGCGCCATACAACATTGCGGGTCGAACCGCCATCCTGTAGAACTTGCCTTTTAGCTTTTGTGGCACTCTCTTGTCACAGAGAATGCCAGAAGCTTGGCGCCACTTCATCCATCCGGCTTTGATTCGATGGTTCACATCTTCATCAATACCCCCATCCTCCTGCAACATTGACCCCAAATATCGAAAGGTGTCCTTCTGAGGCACCACCTGCCCATCAAGGCTAACCACCTCCTCCTCACACCTAGTAGTACTGAAATTGCACATCATGTACTCGGTTTTAGTTCTACTAAGCCTAAACCCTTTCGATTCCAAGGTTTGTCTCCATAACTCTAACTTCCTATTTACCCCCGTCCGACTACCGTCAACTAGCACCACATCATCCGCAAAGAGCATACACCATGGGATATCTCCTTGTATATCCCTTGTGACCTCATCCATCACCAAGGCAAAAAGATAAGGGCTCAAAGCTGACCCCTGATGCAGTCCTATCTTAATCGGGAAGTCATAAGTGTCGACATCACTTGTTCGAACACTTGTCACAATATTATCGTACATGTCCTTGATGAGGGTAATGTACTTTGCTGGGACTTTGTGTTTCTCCAAGGCCCACCACATGACATTCCGCTGTATCTTATCATAGGCCTTCTCCAAGTCAATGAACACCATATGCAAGTCCTTCTTTTGCTCCCTGTATCTCTCCATAAGTTGTCGTACCAAGGAAATGGCTTCAGTGGTCGACCTCCCAGGCATGAAACCAAACTGATTTTTGGTCACGCTTGTCATTCTTCTTAAGCGGTGCTCCATAACTCTCTCCCATAGCTTCATTGTATTGCTCATCAGCCAAATTCCACATTAATTAGTACAACTCTGAACATCCCCCTTGTTCTTGAAGATTGGTACTAATATACTTTGTCTCCATTCTTCTGGCATCTTGTTTGCCCGAAAAATGAGGTTGAAAGGTTTGGTTAGCCATACTACCGCTATGTCCCCGAGGCCTTTCCACACCTCAATGGGGATACAATCAGGGCCCATCGACTTGCCTCCTTTCATCCTTTTCCATTCCCACTTTAGACAAGAAAACTATGCACTGAGAAAAGGCAGTTTTGTTTCCCCAGTTCAGGAAACAACCCATAATTTTATTTTGACTAATTCTCAAATGGATCAAATATTTCAATGATATGCAATTTAGCCATGAATATTGTGTGCAAACTAAACATCTTTTAACTGGACCATCTTAAAGAGACTGAAAAGAGAGCGCCCATATGAGAATATGCCCATATGAGAATAACAGAAGTGGTTAATGGGACAGCTGCACTATGTTACAAGTCCTCAAACACAAGGATGGACAAAAGAACGAGGATTTCCCAAATAATGCAACACTAGCTCACCACATGCAAAATATAATCTTTGACGATGCTTTGTCATGAGAACATAATATAACAGTGAAAAGCAAAGAAGTATATATCCATTGTGATTCAAATTGGTGGTATTGTAAGAAACCTCGCAGTAGTGTCAAAAGAGGTACTCAGTATCTGAGTTCCATCACGTGAAAATGTAACACTTGTAACACCTTTCGCGTGTGAACGCTCGAGGCGTCGCAAGCACTGGCCAGTTCGTATACGCCAAACCTGAAAATCAGTGAAAAGAAACAGTTAAATACGGCAATGCAATTCTTCTCTCACAAACAGACTGAATGGCTGGTGAAATAATGACCCATAATGAAGGTCTAAGAAATTAGTTGGCCACGTGTATTGACTAATGATGTACTTTTACTATGATTGTGTGGTCGAACATGATTAGATGACCAATGATACCATGCATAAATGTACTCAATATGACTGCACTCCACAGGAGGAAGAAAAAATATAGCAATTAACACATGCCCGCACGTTAATCAATCAGAACTGTAAAGAGGTCAGGCTTTGTCTCTGAGCAAACACACTTACAAGCAGTTCACATGACTACAAACACCGTGACCACTCGGAACAGTGAACTTGCAATAAATATTGCCAAGGGAGAGGGGTGTGGGGGCATGGGGGAGAGAACAGTGAGAGTACCTTAATTTTTCCATCCTGTGATCCAGATGCCAGCATCTCAGAATCTCTACTAAAATCAACACAGAGCACAGCATCCTCGTGCATCATAAAGCTTTCCTGGAAAGTATTTTCAAACAAACGTTATGCAGAACCTAGCAATCTTGTCAGTATCTAAATCAAATAACACGACTTATTGATGTCCCTCAAAAGCTATTGATCTTGAATAGCTTGGCTACATGCACAATTACAGGGTTCATGTAAATTCCATGTTAAAGGCGAAAAGCTCCAATGCTAGGGCCTTACATCGGCTTGATATTGAAGATCCTTTTTCAGCTTGCCGCTGACATAATCCCAGACCTGAAAATGTTAATGAAATTTAGCCATGTACGACAGAAGAGCTAACCTGTAAAACACACTAGCAACCAACTTACTTCGATGATTCCATCCACTGAGCATGAAACAAGGTACTGGCCATCGGGTGAGAATCGAGCACACTCAGGGTGGGTTTTCTTCCCGAACTGAAATAAAAAACAAAACGTCAAGTTGTAACCATGAGGAAAAGCCTGAGAACAGCAATTCTCCAGGCAGGCATGTGTTTCTATATCCTCCTTTCAGCATGGAAGTGAAGATGGTAGAATCCTTAACTACATCTCAAAGCATGTTGACATGTCCTAGTGTGTTTTGCATCGATATTTTCCAACGAATTTTGGGACCACCATAATGTCCCAATGAAAGTCAGAGTCACATGCAATTAAGCCAACGCAAAAAATATCATTAATTAGTTGTGTCAATATTCTTCTGCTGTCAACTTAAGTAAGAAATCATCATTTTAGGCTTCTGAAAGTCATTGATATCAATTATCAAATATGTTTATCATTAATTTATCTTCTGCAGTTTCCAAAAATCCTGCATGTACATGAAAAGCCAATGTAAGCTCGCTGATACAGCCACAAGATAACCTTTATTTGATGTGACAAAGTAGTAGGATATGCCTCTTCTTCGTCTTGCTTCATTGCAGCGGTTCCTCTGAACAAATCAAACTGTGTGCCAGGGGGTAACAAACCTATGCAAGAGGAACGAAAAAGGAGCTAGGATGAGTTCGCAATTGGCAATGCGGGGATCATCACAGTATCACAGGTTAAAAACGTGAGTACCTTGGTGCTGTTGCCATTTCAAAGCCTGGGTAATCAGTGCCATTAGCCGAGCTGGTGGGACTACTGAAACTTCAGAAGCAATTGCTGACATCAGCAAGGCAGGTGAAGCGTTAGTATTAAGGATCAGAAAGGCAGAACTTCAATTGCGGCTATTATTGCAAAAGTAGGACACATGTCTATGAGCATTGCACAACTTTAAATCATCAATTAATAAGTCCCTCGTATTCAACAGCACATGGAACAATAAAACTTATAATTTTAAAAAATGTTCAAGAAAAATATTCCCTCCATGGCTCCGTTTCCAAAATATAAGGTGTGTTATTGGAAAAGTCAAATTTCTCTATGTTTGACCAATCTTATGGAGAAAATATCAATATCCACAATACAGCATAATTAAGTTCATCATGATATATATAATTTATATTTTATTTATTTGGTACTGTAGATATTGATATATTTCTCTAATCTCTACTTAAGTTGGTAAAACATAGAAACGTTTGACTTTTTGAAAAAAATCAGTACACCTTATATTCTGGAACACAGGAATTATGTTACATTCTGAAAGTGTAGCATATCTCAGAATCAAGAAGCACTCAAACTTCTCTACTAAGTATGAGAATCATTAACATATATGCCTCAAGAAAAGACAATCAGCAGCCTAACCTTGGGCAATCTGCGCACGTCGCTTTTCCTTGGTAGATTCTTGGTAAGCCTGTTGGCAGAGTGACATCCCAGCATTTCACAGTTAAGAACAATGGCACGACAAATTAACAATAACTAAATAGCAAAGCAGGCTACCAACCTCATTCGGGTCAGAGTATGTCCGGACAAGGAGGTGCTCTAGTCGGAGGTATCGTTCGGGTTCCTCCTGTTTCATGACCCCCATCACCTGTGTCTGGCGAAGGATTGCACGGGCCGTGTCCAGCTCACGGAGCTCTGCCATCTCCAGCACAATCTGCTCGTAGAGGTCCTCAAGCTTCTTGCGCGGCAGCTTCAGCTGGGCAACCTGCGGCAGCACGGCATCCCAGCGCCCAGCATTAATGTCGGCGATGAAGGTATCCATGCTGTCCACCGTGTTGAGCGAGACCTGGCATTCGTTCTGCAGGGTCTGGAACGTCTGATGAAGCGAGTTTTCCTTGCAGAACTGCAGCATTATCTTCACCACGCTGCATCAATGGATGCAAGAAACAAATCAAACCCCAGCTTTCCAGATTTTCCTCTTCATAATAAGTTACTACAGTACTAGTATAGATTTAGCAAACATCATGGAAATCACAATCTCCCGCTTCACTGTGTAAGCCGCAGATGGGCTGCAGAAACATTAAGCACTAGAGGGGTTCGTGTGAGAATGGGCGGATTCAAGAAAAGGCGCGTACGGTTTAGGGTTCTTTGGTTGCCTTCGTTGCCGTAAGGTGTAGGGCACGAAAAGAAAGAAGGATTTGTACGTACTCGCGAGCCTCGATCTCTAGGGTGGACGTCGAAGACGCCATCTGCGGCTCCTGCGGGTGGCAGCACGCGGGCACCAAGTCTGAGGCGGCGGCCGGAGAAGAACGGGAGGAGGTGGCGGTGGCGGTGGCGATGGCGAAGGAGAGGACAGGGATTGTGGTTGTAGGCCAAAGCTCGATAGCGAGGAGAGTCTACTTGGGCCTCGTGAATATTACTTTGGCCCATGATGAGTCTCCAATCGACAGAACTGTCTCCAAAAACAATCTCCAAACGACAGGGGAAAAAAATTGGAGTAACACACTTGCTTTAGGCTGACACTAGTCTTTGTTACTACCTTTATAATGCAAAGTAACATACAGGTAGTATCATATATGATAGCATTTATTACATTATAGACTCATTTTGCTTTGGGTTGCATTATGTTACAGTAACATATTATGTTACTCCAAACACCTCTTTCCTCATTAACTCTATGTCACATAAGTAAACCTGTTTTGAAATGCGCTATGTTACTTGCTAAGTTACTCCCACTATGACCAGCCTTAGAGGAGCAACTAGTTAGGACAACTCTAATGTAGATCACCAAACGAACATTAAGAGCCAATCAGGCGAGACCATCCAACTGGAGTCAAAAAAATGAACACCGAATTTTCATTGATTTTAGGAATAACTTTTACATACCCAAAAAGGGTCCTGAAAAACAACTAGACCTCCTTCAGTCAGAGGTGAGGTCCACAGTTCCAACGTGAGATGGTTCGGCCTCGTCGTCGTTAGCGGCCAACTCAAATGAGGCGGAGCTGACGATGGATGCCTGTTGGCATCGTCTTCATGCTAGTGCGATTGTCCTCCGACTCCAGCCGCTCGAAGAGCCTGTTGCGCTACGCCTCGCTAACCGGATCAAGCAACGCTCGCGGTGGGTGATGTGATGACACAAGCATCGCTCATTTCACGTCCACGGTGCCTGAGTTCGATACGACCGTAGCTGCGATGGCAGCTTCGAATGAGTGCTCCGCTGAGAACTAATCCTCCGCCAGCCGGTGCTCTCCTAGATGTGACAGATTGTAGTGTTGCTCCGCTTGTAGCAGTCTGAATGCGGATACCGATGGCTCCCCACCGGCACAGGCGTCTATCCTCTGCCTCCACAAGCACCATGTTGTAGTGTTGCTTCGTCCATGGCAGGTTGAACTCGGACACATGCACGGGTTCCTGCTCCTCCTCCGACTCATCCATTGTGATATTTTCCATGACCATGGGGTCGCCCTCCTCCTCATCATCATCCTCCTCCTCCTCCAAGTCTTCCTCCTTTGAGCTCTACTCCGGAGAGCTCGGAGGTTGGCCCGCCTCAATGTGGGAGTAGCTCCAAGCATCCACGGCACAGACCTACACTGCGGTTTCTACTAGGTGCCCTGGCGACAGTCGCTTCCACCACAAACGAGAGAAGGCAACCATTGCTAAGGGGTTCATATGGGTGGATGGTTCGACGGTTGGTGTGATAACCCACAAGTATAGGGGATCGCAACTGTTTTCAAGGGTAGAGTATTCAACCCAAATTTATTGATTCGACACAACACTGGTACAGCGAGGTGCTATACAAACAGTTTTTAACCCCTTTCCGCGACGGCATTGTGAACCGTCACCAAGTGAGTGTGTGCGATAGGGGGGGGGGGGGTCCTTCCCACACAAACCAAAACCGTCAAGGATAGGGAGCCATGATGCAGAGTCCTTGCCAAATGTAATCGTATTCGATGCAGCACACATCAAATTCCGTCACACATGTGGGATCGATGATTAAACGTTTCTAATGACGCGATGAAACCAAATGGTGTGTCGTAATGAACCATTTGGGAAACGGTATGTAAGGCACATGGGCCAACATATGAACTGTGTGCCGTATGTGCCCTATCGCACACGAGTTTTTTGTGGAACACGTCTGCCATGCATGACTCGATCGCACACGTTTTCGAACAATTACCGTGTGCGATAATGTTCTGTCACAGACAGCAGGAGTCCCTTCGCACACATACAAGTGTTGCAGGCCGTTTGTGATTTGGTGTGTATCACCGACGGTTGCGGTAAGAGTGACGTGTGATTTTCGTTTGGGATCCCACACGTTTCCTAAAATAATACGACTGAGATTGTATTTTACATTGGACACGGTTTACTCTGAGCTCTCGTGTGCGATAATGTGGTATCACAGACGGTTTCGGAGCCCCTACGCACACATAGTAGTGCTGCAAATTGTCTGTGATCTGTTGTGTATCACCAACGGTTTCGCTACGATTGACGTATGCTTTCCGGTGTGGATCGCACACACTCATTTAGTTGAACCGTGTGCAGAGCAATTGCCAGGTTAAAGCAAAATATCCCATTTGAATCGGCATGCAAAAAGAAAATTCACCACAATATGCAATTGAACAAATAGTGTCCACGGGAAGAATATTCATCAGATTTCGCAACAATTGCAATTGAACAAATGGTAGCTAAATTCCAATGATTTGTCGACATATATATGCATTACATAATTAATCATAGTGTACGAAATATGAAGACCTCATTAGATGGAAAACAATGGATTCATGCGTATATGTTTAGCGGCTAACTCTTACTCAATGTTTCAGGAGAAGGCATGCTAAAATCTTCATTATCACCGGTGGGATTGATGTAGTGATTCAGGAAGAAGTCACTGATAAATCTTCGAACCATCAGCAATTCACCAGCGGGGAGCGGTTCAGGGGTCCTCTAAGATGAGCTGCAGTATTTTTAAGATCAGAATATGCCATATGAGTGGAGTAGAAGATATTAATTACGATAGACTTACTGGTACTAATTTGCAAGCATCTTCATAACTATCAGCATATTTGCAGATGGAGATCATGTGTCTACAAACATACACAAAGGTTGGTCCCTGCTTGTTGCTGAGGACACTGAAATTTTTTGTACATAATTAGTCATGTATTTGTCCTGTTAGGAACAACCTAACCGGTGTTAGATGTATTTTTGTTCTTTGGACAAAAATAGAAAGAGGTTTATTTAGAATCTTGAACATTTCACTAGCATAAGAAAAGATATGTGCAGACTATTGGATACATTTTCTGAAAATAACGGATTTCGGTGTGTTACCAGAGAAATGATCTCGTGATGCAGAGTAGTTCCCTCTTGAACAGGTTCCTGATTTAGTTTTCCACAATGCGATCACACTATAAATGAAGATGGATTTTGACAACATCAATTATTGAACCAGATATGAATGCAAATTAATTTCAACATCATAGAATTCAATATCTATCAATGAATTGCTGAAGATGTGTCAGATCCTGAGCGTTTGTTGACACTCTGAGAGAATCCATGTAGTAAAGTGTGTTCTTGTTTAGAACAATGAATACCAAGATCCAGTGATTGCTATATATTAAGAAAGCCATGAACTTACGAATTATGTCGAAATCTGAAAGACAGTCAGTGTATGCGTGGTTATTTATTTGACTTACCGTTCATGATATGGCCACATAAATGATTTTGCATGGGACGTGTTTTCGAAGATACGGGCGACCGTGTTAATGGTCCACTCCCGTTCATCCTTACCATGTAATGTTGTACCATTTGCTAATGGAGGATCTATGAAATACACACTCCCTCTTTTTCTTCTTTGCACGTTCAATCCCCTGGGAGAAATAAAATGCAATTAGTTGTTTATCATTTACACCCTTGTATGGAGAAGTTGATTAGAGTTTGTTAAGTACTTACAAAATCAAACATCTAACATGAGTGGCATCGAGCTCGTTGAAGTTGAAGAAGAGATGTAAGTCCTCGAAATTCACACTGATCAAACCAGCATCGTGTTAGAAATGATCTCTATTGTAGCAGACTAGCAGAACATGATGACCTGCTAACTTTTGATCCATGCAATATTTATGTAACTCGCGGCAACTAGAGTTGCACTCATCAAAGTATTCACCAAAAATAAATGGCTGGCCATGGACGTAATTGTGTACTTCAAGTACGTTAGCTTTATTTTTAGCAAGCACCAAATCTATTTCTGCATCATTCATGCCGTCAGGCATAATATTACTTTCCGATTCGAACAACTTGTTGTTAATTTGGTTATGGGCGATGAGTGCTTTAAGTAAGAGGCAATCATTCTCTTTCCTCTTCACTCTCTGGGCGCGCTTCCTCGCGGTTGCAGCCTTTTTGCCCGCTTCCTTCTTGGTACTTGAAGCACTTATGGTCCAAGGTCTGGATGGCTGAAAGGGAGACTGCAAAGCAGACGGTAAAGCTTCGACGGACTGCTTAGCAGACGGTTTAGCTATGCCGGACTACTAGGCTGGTAGTGCTGCTATGACAGACTTTGGGCTGTAGGAGTAGAGGCATCGGACTGTTGACCATGCGTTGAAGCTATGTTGGGTTTCTACGCAAGTGGTGCCAACTTGTCGGTGTGCCAAGGAGGTCGTGCCAACACATTGGTTTGCAGAGCAGGCAGTGCTGAAGCATTGATATGCTGATCACGCGGCTGCGGGCCGATGCACTGATGTGCAGTCGGTTCTGGACCTATAGACTGCTCAGCAGGCGGTTCTGAAGCATCAGACTACTTAGTAGTCCGTTCCACCAGGTTGGTGTGCTGAGCATGTGTTGCAGCTAGGTCTCCCCTCGCTGCTTCAGCGGCCGGCATCTAAACCCGTGGTGCATCTTCAACAGCTGTAGGCCTTGCCACTGGCTACTCTAGGGCGGACGATGACATGGCCTGTACGGCACAAAGTCGGGTGGGTTGATCACAGGTTGATGCATCAGCCGTCGGATTACGAGTATTAGGTTCCTTGGGGGAAGCATGCGAGAGCTGTTGTGGCAAGGAGAGTGTCACCGGTTGAGGGGCGACATTAGTTGCTCTTGGCGGGGCTTCAGGGATCTCATCCATGAAGTCTATTTCCTTTCGTGGGCACTGGATGTGATGTAACAGTGTTTCTCCCAAGATCATATGCTCATCAAAGTCCCCTAGGACATTCTTCAGGGCAAATTCATTGAATCCAGGCTTTACTTCAGTCACGTAGTACTT